TTAATTTTGGGGGTTTAAATGAGGTAAAAACTACCCTAATTGTATTTTTAAGCATTAACTATGCATGCTGTTTGTACATATATGTATACACCGAGACAAATGCCTGTTTTTGCATGATAGGCATGTGGTACATTACATCACATCGCAAAAAGGCAAATAACCCATCTAAATTCAACATGACGGAAAACATTTCTTTTTATCCACTCTGCCTGTCTGTACATAGTTTGTAGATAGATGCATTGACCTGATACTGGTAAATTGTATATTTAGATGCATGGCATGCTGACAAGCAACCAGACTAATTGTATAAATTTTGTTGAAGTTATCAGTGCATTTTGTGTCTTTTTCTTGCTTTTTATGTTTACATAATTTCATGTAGAAGTTTTCTTTTCTAGATAGGAATCAGGGTTTTTTCAAAATGCTTAATTCCTTTAAAACAATGTTTTTGAGTGCATTCAGAACTTTTTTTCAGCCATTGAAAAAACAAATGTACACTTGGGAATTCAAAATTATGTTACATCTTGTAGAAAATTCTACCGAAGGACCAAGCAGACATTATTTTCATTTACAAAACGTCAAAGACAGTATAAATTTGACATTTTATGTGTAAGAAAAAGTATTGCAAACAAGACATTGTTTTTGTATTAGCTTTGACAACAGTTATGTGGCTCTCAATATCCACATGTACATACATGTATACATCCTGCAAAACTGTGTGCCCATAATCTGAAAATGGTTAGATTTTGGTCACTCACTTTTGAATATGCTTTGTTGTGAAAGGTGAAATAGACTAAATGCTTGATTTGTACAACAGACGAGGTGCTAGTAGACAGTTACCAATCTAAATGTGCACCAGGTTTGAAGCCAGGAAGTGCTAAAATATTTTACCAGTTTGGTTTATGTAAACATTGAAGTTCCTTTAGCATTAATCCATACCACATTTTGCCTGGTCTGTATAGCACAGACTTTGAAAAATTGTTGACACATTTCCTTGTTTTTTTTTTTTATTCCTTTGGGTCACTGAAAGTAATTTCTTTGTGGATATGCTGCTTACATTAGGTCTGTTAGGTTTCCTATGGGTGTTCTGTCTTGCCAAGACTCAATTTATTTTTGTATTATGCCTTTCAAGAGGGGGCATTTGGGATTTTTCGTTTCTTATCAAGTAGATAATGCTTCAATATCATTTTAACAGGGGTGACTGATACAGAAAATGCATTTTGGAGTAGAGAGAGCTTTTTAATAACATGAATAAATGAAATATGAAGATACCGAGCATGTGTGTCTGTGTTCATTTTATGCCCTGTTACCACCCGTTCTAAGGTCAGAAACATCTGGATTCTGAGTGCTTTCTTGTTGTTAAGTGGCCAAAGGTACATGTATCTCTAGGCAAAAGAATGTCAATTTCAGTGTTATGCTGGCCCCAATTCTGGTGCATTAATTTGAAGAACAGCAATTTTTTTTCTTTAGTTTTATAAGAAATGTTTTATTTGCTTCCTTAATATGGCCATGAACTTCTCTATTAAGGACTTCAATCTACAGTACATGTATCTTCTAAGTTCTACATGACAAACACGTATGAATGTCTACTTTTCTAGTATTTGCCCATAAGCATGTATGCTATTGTCTGCCGTTTTCATCCAGTTTCTCTTTAAGAAAGAAAATAAAGTTCCGATTAGTAAAACAACAGGTTAGATCTCATTACATACAACAATCTACATATAAGTAGTCATAGGCAACTTAATAATACAGTATACATATAACTGTCCTTTTAAAACACAAAAGAAAAGATTTTTTTCCCACTGTGAGAGGATATCTTGGCCTGTTAGCACTGTGCACGAGTAATGTTTACATCTGAAAAACTTGCTGTGCTAGTACAAGTTATTGAAGAAGTACATGTACAAAAGCCAGGACGCACCAGTCCAATTATGGGTTTACCAACAACTTCTTGCTGTGCACTGGTGATCTGTGCTGTACATGGGCCACCACTTGGGCAATCCAGTCAGCATGTCATTTCAAATCAGTTCAAAAAATTCAGAATGCTTGCCAAACACTACAGTCCTTTTGGCCCCCTGTCATTTTCAACTGAGGGACTTGCACAGGTAACATGGGGGACAAACAATTCACTCCGCAAATGCATGATGTACAGTGCCTCGGCCAGCTTTTATTACAAGCACTACATTAAGTGTTCATCGTTCCTTTGGATTTGATTAGCATGAAGTGGAAAAGGTTATAAGCAATACATCTTTAACTCTCCCACTACAATCCTTATTTTTTTTTTACAAAGTCATCTCAACATAAATCAATACACATCCTTGCAGCTATACGTAGATTAGATACTTGTAAAATAATTTTGTAAAACACTTTGGAAGAAAACACCATTAACCCTCCTATGCTGAAGTCACTCTTTGGGTCACTTGGTAAACACCTCCAAGAAGCACAGCTGTGTT